GATTAATTGAAAATTAAAATGCTGATCTGCAGATTTTTACATTATTTGTTATTAGAAGCATGTACTGATGTTGAGACCAGCTTATTGAATCCCATGATAAGCAAAGTCTATCTCTTAAGAGGCAGGTCTGGTATGAAATATGTTTTCACTTAAGTAGCAACATGTGCATACATGCAATATACAGAGCCCATGAAGACTGAAGGAAGACAACAGAAGAGAATAAAGCAAGAACTAAAACTTAAAACCTGTTCCTTTCAGACAAGTACATACAAAGACAAAAAAAAAAAAAAAAAAAAAAAAATTCAATCTCAGCATCTCCGATCTGGTTCCCAGAATACCAACATTGAAGCCCATTGAATACCAACATCAATTAGTCATACAGAGATTAAAACCATGCCCAAACCACTGACAATTATTAGGGGCTCACTTTATAAACGAGCAGAAGCATCGTGCAATAAATCCTTGGGCAGCAGCAGAAAATAAAAAAATAATTTAAGGAGGGAAGAAAGGGGAGGAGAAAAGAAAAAAAAAATATTAGTTATTGCTCCAGAGACATAATATTGTCCCAGTACAGTAAGTCACCTCTTTTTTTCCCCTAAAGGAACGAGCGAGTATAAAACTAGCATTACCACATGCGGGATTCCAAGAACAATTCAAAATAACTCCTTGGCTCCTTTACAAGATATTGAACCCGATCTCATTTGGACAACATCTTCTAAAGAAATCAAAGAGGCGACCAATTTAATAACAGTAACTGACAATGACAGGAGGTTGCAGCAGAAGAATGTAGTTTTCACCTTGTGGCAAAATTCCTATTAATTTGAAACATTTAATTGTGCAATACAAACACTATGATCTGCTCTCCAAATGCAGAAACAAGGAAAAGGGCAAATTCAGCATCAGACCCAAAGTCCAGATTCTCTAAACTGAAGATTTAGTAGAAGACAGAGCTACTAGGCATTGTCACTGACCTGTTCCATGCACAGACAGGTTCAGGTCACATTTTTCAATGGTACACATACACTTCTAGCTGAATTTCAATTTAGAAATAGGCTTCCCCACTTAAGGTTTGAATACATCCACACCAAAACCCCCAGTTGAATAAAACGAAAGGTAAAATATCAATGGCTAAGTAACAGATGAATGATTACTACTGTTTGTCTCGAAATCATGAAAGGCACAAGTAATTGAACATGGTTTGAACTCTGGAAATATCTGTTGAAGAAAAAGCCCTAAAATACAACAGCATTTAGTTTCTTTTTAATGTTTGTCAAAATTCATTACACTTTTTACAAGCTTTTATCACACTTTTTATAAGCTAACCTTCAAATTTTTCCAGAGAAAAACCAAGTATGTGAAACTACTTTCAAACATAAATGTAACATTTGAAAAGAAGCCACAACAGGTAGAGCGCTGTATCTTCCAAATACTCAAAACTTGGAACATATACATTTAAGCATCTGTTCTCAGTCTACATTCGTTTACATAGCAGACATCTGGCTCTACAAATTAAAGCCTTAAAGATAAAATAAAATCTTAAAGAAAAAAGACATACCATGCCTGAATGTTTCGTATTAACTGCTGCTATGCATTAAAAAAAAAAAAAAAAAAAATATCCATCTGCATCTTACCCTTTAGCAACATCACTGTTATCCAAGTTCCAGAATTTTGAAGGACAAACATGCAAAAATTGTCTTCTTTTCACAGGTATCACTTGAACAGTGGTTTGAGACCCCAAGAGGATTTTAAGTCAGGGCTCCTGCCCCCAAAAGAAGCAGATTTGCTATTTGTGTAAGTACTGTTACCCACAGAAGTTAAATACTCACTAAACATACCATATTTAATTATCTTTCCTTTTAGGAAACGTGTGACGAAAAAACATGGATATAGATACAACATCCTCTGAGATGAAAGGCAGAAGACATGGAAAGACCCATTCCATGAATTCAAATAAGTGCTGCTGGAAAAAAAACATTTGTACATGGTGCACTTTTTTTTTTTTTTTTTTTAAAATGTTCTCCAAGGAGATAAGTTTCTGTGTGGTTGCTCACTGATAGAGCATTGAATTACCTGTAGCATGTAGTATATTTGCAACGTAAACGGAAAACTGTATTCTCCAAACCATTTTGTACTGATAGCAATGTAATGCAGTTTTAATGGAAAATGTTCCTGCCTGTAACCAGAAAAATTAGTGCTTTAAAGAGTGTCTGATAGAGGCATCTGTCTCTCCTTTTGCAAGCAAGTCACCACACCTACATCACAGCCTTTTGTACTAGAAATTTGCTCTTAGCAGACTGCAACACTTAAGTCTTCAAGGTGAAATGCTGACCCTGCCTGGGGCTCCCACCAAAAAGTGGCCAGGACTGAAAGCTCTTGGCAGCCCTTACCTTCTTCTGGCAGCCCCTTCACAGCCCCACTCACACTGGGGCCCTGCACTTTCTCCCTCTATAAACTCAAACCCTAACCGTAGACATTAAATCACTGCTTTCAAATTAGGATATCCGTATTATATAAAAAATAAGACAAATTGTATATTACACTTTGGTCTGCCAGTTAAATATACAACACTGAGCTCGCACACTTGTTCAGCAATTTCCAAAAGCACTCACTTGCTCAGTTTGATCCCCATGGATCATTACTCGGAGGTCCAAACACGACATCAGGGAGACAGACTGCATACTAACCTGGTACCCCTGGAAGAAACTGAGTATCTCCTTCATTCCTGTGTTATATGGCAAGCCCTGCATACGGACTAATGCTCCAGGCTGGGGCAGAATTGGAGTGTGGGTGGCAGTGGCAGCAGCGGCTACAGCTCCTGGAGGAGCTGCAATATACCCCACTGTGGTAGGGGATACCGGAGGACTGAAAAAGAAGAGGTCCAAAATTGTTATGAAAACCAGTAGCTGGTTTTAGTACTCCAAATAGGCAAAGATGAGACTGAAAATTTAAATTTGAGAAAATAAGCCCCAAAACAACAAAAAAACAAGCAGCCATGATGGGGCCTGCTTTGTGGACTTTCTTCATTTCTCTTTAACATTTGATATTTTATTTGTAGAGAAGGGAGGGAAAGGAAAATAGCTGACATTTGTAGTTGAAGACATAAAGAGTGGCACTTGTTATTTCACAGGGGAGGAGAAGAATAGCAGCTGCTAAAAAGTAGGACTTGTTCTGAGATTGTTAATAAACAAAAAAAGCTGTGGAAGGAATCACAGTATGAAAAGCAGGCAATGGCCCAAATCTGGTACTTCTCAGCCACAAAATGGTGAGTAAAGTAGCATCTCTGGTCGGGGCCCATCTAGCAATTTACCAGATGCTCAGGCTAGTGAGCATCACAAGCCTAGGATCTATCAAAGAACAAGCTATTTCCCCATGAACCCAAGTACCAGTCTTCAGTGAGCCATGTTGATACCATCTGTAGGAATGCAAAAGGTGGACATCATCTGCTTTGCTTACACATGTAAAGTGTTCTTTGGTCTCACTTACAAGAAATCAAACCTAGTTCACACCTACAATGAGTCTTTCAGTATGGAAACAGTATTGTAAGTACAGGAACAAACTAAGGGATGAGGGTAGAGGCACGTATTGACACAGCTTCTCGGTTGGCCAGGAAATAGAACTGCCTTGACGACATTGCCCCAGTGCCAAAAACACTGTTAAATATTACACCAACATTATCATGAGATTCAAAGACAGCCTACAGAAAAGCCTAACTTCATTACAAGGCCACAGAAAATCAGTTAAAATGGCTACTGCCTCTGCTGATGAACATCAAGTTCCCAGGGTTATCTACACCAGAAGTACAAATTTAAGATCTGTTCACAGGTGACCACACAGTTGCCTATTCCACCGAGATGAAATGTCAAGAGAAGCTGCTAAGTCTAGGGGTTACCTGGGATAGTAAGCTGTGTAATTCATGTAAAGCTGAGCAGCCTGAGCTGGGTAGTAGGTAACAGTTGGAGGAGCAGCCGCGGAGGCCTGGGGAGTCCTGGTGGTTGGCAAGAGGGCTTGTGGCTGATAAAGCGCTGCCTCTGCTGGGATCACAGCTGCCGTTTGGAAAGCAGCATAAGCTGGTGGAGAGAGACCTAAAAACAAACCAGGACACAACAACAAAAGTCAATCAGAAAGGAGATATCTGCTATAGGAATGGAATTGTTGATCCCAATGTGATTAATACCATCTGGGCATGATTAATGAACACTTGTGCAAAGACTGCTCTCTAGCCTTTCCCCTGGAGACCCCTGCTACATCACCATGAATGACAACTGGAGCATCCGAAATGAGCAATTCCTAAGAGTTCCCAACTCCTAGAGCTGAGCAGCCTTGTCCATATGCAAATGCAAAGTAGGGAACTTCAGAGCTATTCAAAGGAAGCATAAAGCCAAGTGCATAGAGAAAGCAGGCGTGCACACCAACACACTCTCTGTTCTTTCTAACAGAAGTTGTACTCTGTGGGACAAAAGTACCATAATATTAGCTACGCATGGGCATCCACAACTGCTGACCATGAGTCTCCATGTACAAGCCTTCTGCAACTTCAAAAAGTATTTTTTTAGGATCTAGCAAATGGAAGGAAGAAAGCCTCACTAGAACACTAGTCAGATGCATTTTGATGAACAAAACTCTGATTTGTATAGGAACATAAAGCTTGGCTTGGTGTGCAGTCAAACTGTTTTTAAATACTATATTTGGCAACTTTTTACTATTTTGCAAATACATCGGTATCTGCTTAGCGATTTGGTAGTGAGACTGATTAGAATGGTACAGTAAAGTTCCTTTATAGTTCCACAATAAGGTTCACTGTAATCTTAAATAAACACATAAAAATCTATCCAACTTCACCACTTTATGGTCTGTTAATGTATCATCCCAGTGTGTGTTTTCCTTCAAAAAAGCCCAAAGAGTACCTTCTCAATTCTCTAAGGCAAGACAGCAAGAGCACTCATCGGCAGCTAGAATATAGAATTTCTCTCCCTTTTAAAAATCCTTCTAATTCCAAGTAGGTTTCACTACAGGCAAATCTACCGCAGAGCTCAGAAGAACAGTATACCCATAAAAAGCAAAGTGTGCAACAATTTCACTGGCAAGGCCTTGCTGCCCTCTACTCACCACCGAAAATACAATAAAAATGCCTTTGATCAGTCCCATTATTGCCCAAAGGGAACAATTCCAATCTCAGCATGTATACAGATGGATGATTATTGATCATGGCAAAACCCAAGTCAAAAGGTGAAAGGCCACAAAGCTTCAGCACCTACCACATATCAGCCTTTAGCAGCAGAGAGCAGAAGAATCGCAGACTTACATGGTAACTTACATGGCGGTGGGGATAAGCCACTACGATTTAAAGTGCCACCCATTAAAACAAAGTTCATCTCCTCTCCTGAACACTGGAATACTTCCACATAACGGTCCTTCATCATTTTTTTGTGACATTTTTGAGCCACCATAAAGGCTTTGTCAGCAGATTTCATTTGGATAAAAGCATCACCTGATGGTCGTCCCTGGGGGAGGGGAGAAATAATCAGAAGACAATCTGTTATTAAAACACCCAAAGCACAAGAAATGCAGAAAGTACTAAGATCAAATGTCTACTGCAAGTCTGTAGCGTTCTTCCTCATCTGGCACCAATGACTAATAATTCAACAATTATTTTTAGGAGCAGAAAGGCAAGAATCATGTAACCAGCACCCATTTACACAACACTACTTCCATCTTCTGCAGACAGTCACAGAGAATAATTTAGCACAGAAACAACATTTGGAGGCTTCTAATCCAAACGCTCTTCAAAGCAAGGCTAACTTTCAAGTTACATCATGCCATTCATGGCCTTCTCCACTTGAATTCCAAGCATCTCCAGGGGCAGAGATTCCACAGCATCTCTGGGAACCTGTTCGGGTGCTTAAATAATTTCTTTATTTTTTCTATTTTTTTGTTTTTTCTTTTTCACCCAATGGGATTTTTCCTTGATTTTATTAACATTGTCTCTTATTGTTTTGCTGTGAAGCTCTAGGAAGAGTCTGGCTTTGCCTTCCCTGTAACTATTTTTTAGGTAATAGTACAACAGTATAAAGCTCCAGACATGCTCAAGTAAAGTCCATGGCAACATTAGAAATTGATTTCCAGGTCTGATTTTCTGCAACCTGACAGACATTGCTGTACGTATAAAATATTTAAAACTTTCTTAAAAAAAGCAGAACAAATATAATAGATCTCTCTCTTTTGTTTTCTTTAATACCTCAACATTTCTGTGGCTAATAGAGTTTATTTTTAACACAGGACAACAAGGAAAAAATATCTCTATGATTATGTCATTAAAATATATCTAACCCACAATTTTTAATTATCAACTTCCTTTAAAGCCCAAGAAGTCTCTAATCAAGTTAGAAGTTAGGAAAACCTATTTTTTCCACAGATACCACTCAAACAATACAGCTACTATTGAGCAGAAACCCTGAAGCTGACAGAGCAGCTACACCATCTAACAGGAGACTGTCTTCTGTATTTCCAGCACTTGACTGAAACACAAGGGACTATTTAAGACAGCCTCTGGGATAAAGGTATTATTAAAAGAAAAAGCTTCATCCTCCCCAGTCTTATGCATACATATATAGAAAGAAAAGCCAGTATGTATGTAAGAGGGGAGGTGAAATGGGGAGAAAGAAGGAACAAAAAGACAGGCAAAGGGAACATAGTATTTTCTCAAGGTTATAGAAGACCTAAAGCACAGTTAACTACCCTGACTTCTAAGCCTGTTCAATAACTGGAAAGTTAGCCCTCCCATGCAAAATGCTGTTACCTGTTGATTAAGGACCATGTGAACTCCATGGGGCTTGATATCAGCTGTGGCATCTCCCATAAATTCCAGGATGTCATCGATGCCAGCAGTGTAAGGAAGGCCTCTGAGCCGGACACAGTCACGTATGCTGCCCGTGGCAATGGTGTATGGCGGGGGTATGACAGGAATGATGGGAGTTGGGAGGGTGGGGATAAGAGGTGTTGACATATATCTATTAAGTACCTGTTGGCAAAAAAGGCACATGGATAGAGATTTACATGTCATCTGGTTGAGCACAAATCAGTTCTCACAATACTATTTCACACATTTAAATAAATCCACTTCCAACATCAGAGCCAAAAAAAAAAAAAAACCTTAAACCAAATTCTTGTGGATAGTTTCCTGTTGGGCATCTGAAAATTTCAAACTCAGAAGGGGAAAGAGGAAGTCTTACAAATTTAATTTACTAGACCCTAATAGCAGGCCTTTCTAATCTCATTATAAAAAAGTTAAAAGCAGATTACAGTTCATTTTAGAATATCCCAGAAAGGAATATTTGAAAACCACATTTGTTCTAATAAGCCAGTATTGTCACATTCAGTTCTTACTTAAATTAGGGTAAATTAAAGACAGTAATCTTAAAAGAAATGAGACCTGAAATAACTAATAAGTAAATACACTAGCTCTAGTTCCTTCATAAAACCCGATTGGTTGAGTGAAGGCGTTTGGGTTTTTAACCTGAGTGCTCATCTCCAAGTACAGGGTTTCTGGACTAAAAAAAAAAGAAAAAAAATGGATAAGAACTATAGGAGACCTTGATATCAATGTTTTATTTTCTCTTGACTCATTCTCAAATCACAAAGGGAACATAATTTGCTGTTGGGGCCTGTTGCTGAAAAACATATTTAGCAATGATTATCAGAAATAAACAAACACATTCCACTCTTTTGAAAGAGATACCAAAAAAGAGGTTACAAAGCTTTGGTTTTGTCAATAATGACTCAGCCTAGGGAGTTTGTCTCAACAGAAGTCTTTTTTCAAAAAACTACTTGTAGCACCTTTCAGGTCAGAAATCTTCTCCCTCAATTGTGTATAGAATACTGCAATTACTTTGTCTTAACACTAAGTGCAGGAGAGCTGGCTTTAACTCTTATAATTACTCAAACAAGGAGCCTGTAATTCCCTAAAACCTCATTTCTTGCTCAAGTAGCAAAAAAAAAAAAAATTAAAAAAATAGGGTGTCACCCTAGACAGCAGTCATTAGAGGAAGAAGTAATGACATATTGATAAAATATGTTATACAAGTTTTATCCAGGTCTCCCTAACAAAAATGAGAGGAAAGACTTGGTCACTGTGACAGAGAGGTTTTGTTCCTTAGACGACTTAGCTTCATCCTCTCTAAGAACCAGAACTGAAAAGGAAGGGGGGGAAAAAAAAAAAAAAAAAAAAAAATCTCACCATGCCTTTTCACCCAGTCTTCACAATGCACATATCAGATTCTTGGCTGTTCTAATCTCCATATCACAGCACTAAGGGTAAATGGCAGCTCTGCAAGTGTGG